TTTACTAAAATAATCTAATATGGAAGATGATTTTAATAAATGGAAAGATATTCCACTGTCATGGATGGGAAAATAACGTTTTAAAGATATTAATTCTTTCCAGATTGATCTATAGATTCAGTGCCATTCTAGTCAAACTTTAGTTGGATTTTTGGAGGTACTTAATAATCTTATTTTCAAAATGATTTGTAGAATCAATAAAAGTTTGTGGAAAGCTGAATAAACTTTTTAAAAGAACAATCAAGGGTGGACTTGCCCTATTACATGGTAGGGTATTATTTATTTTTTTTATTTATGATACTGGGGATTGAACTCAGGGAAGCTTAACCACTGAGCCACATCTCCAGCTCTTTTTTTTGTATTTTATTTACAAACAGGGTCTGAGTTGCTGAGGCTGGCCTTGAACCAGCAATCCTCCTGCCTCAGCCTCCTGAACCACTGGGATTACAGGCGTGAGTCACTGCACAGGCAGTAATGTATCTTTTAAAGCCATCACAATGATAACAGTTTGATAAAGACAAATCAACCAACAGCATAGAATGGAGAGCATAGAGACAAACCCATATGCACATGAGAACCTAATATATGAGAAAAAGGGCACTACAAATCAATGGGAAAGAGCAATTTAAACGCATCAAAATGGAATATTTCTTTTTAACAAAAGACAGCATGGAGATAGGTAATTGATAAAGGCACAAAAGGAAGAAGGTATTAAGACCTAAAGTTGGCAAGAATTTATGTTATCTGTGGACTGAAAATCAACAAGGAAAAAGCCCACAATATATCAAAATGGATAAAGGATATGACAGGCAATTTCAGAGAAAGAAACAGAAAAATAACAAGCACACTATGAAGTGCTCAACATCTCTGGCAACTGCCCAAGTGCAGATTAACACAATGACATACCACTTTGCATCTGTTATACCAGACAAATAAAAGAGACAGAAAACACCCATTATTGGTAGAGATAAGGGATGTGGATGTTGGTGAGGTGTACTGGATGTAGATGGTCTAGAGCTTTGTCTGGAGCCATATATTCAAATTAAATGGATGCCTGCCTTATGGCCCTGACATTGTCTTCCTCAGTAAACCTCCCAGGGAAATTCCCACACAGTCCACAAGAGCAGTCCAAGGGTTGTTTGCACTGGGGACAAGTTGGAGACAATCTAGATGATCATCATTAGGAGAATGGATAAAGCAAATGAGGCAGCTGCATTCTGTGGAGTAGCACCCAGCAGCCAGCAGCAAGGATCAGATGCATACAGAGTGCCACATGGATCTTAAAAGGGTGTTTCCTGAAAAACATTAGGACAGTTAGTGAGACACATAAAAATAGTTGTGTAAATCTAAAATGCATGCACGTTTTAATACACATAAATAACAATACACATTTTTTCAAAGCACATTCCTTAGAAGAAACAGTGGATTATGATATGGCATGAACTGAGGAGAAGGGCCAACTCAACCTTCAGCACCTGGGGTAACTACAACAATGAAGTACTTGCTTTTCTTTCTTGTTTTTTTCGATACCAGGGATCGAACTCATGGGCCCCAGGCCTTTTTTATATTTTATTTAGAGACAAGAGCTTTCACTAAGTTGCTGAGGCTGTCTTTGAACTTGTGATCCTCCTGCCTCAATCTCCTGAGCCTCAAGTTACAAAACAGATAAAAGTTTTTACAAGTTAGATAAAAATTATCTCTGAATTCAGTCCAGAGATCTTTTTAAAGTTTCCAACCTTTTTTCTTTTAAGACAGGTATTAAAGGTTTTGTCCTCAGACCATGGTACTACAGGGAGGTGCTGGAATCTTTAAAAGGTGGGCCTAGTTGGAGGAACTTTAGATAAACTGGGCTCATGCCCTTGAGGGGGATATTGAACCTGTCCTTTCTTTTCTCCCTCTCTCTCTCTCT